ACACCAACCAACCAACATTGACGACCGGCCATCATCATCAACTCATAATACACTATAGAATGATAGGACAAAACAACAACAATTACAATAACGTGGGGATGAAGAGTTGTATAGGCATAGGTCCAAAGAGGGAGTATCAGTGTTGGTATTTTTTTCACAATTGACAAAAAATCAGGAAGAAAAATAATGTCCAACAATAACAATAGGATTCGTTAAGGTTGTCCTATGTCACACCATTTCCAAGGGAACGAGAGAGAGAAAATTTTTCAAAAAATCACAGTTATTGATAAAAAAATAAAAAATAGCGCAACAAAAACAATAATAATATTTTTGTCAATATTGACCTATAATACACCATTTTATTCGGTTTTGTGGTGCATACTTTTAGGGTCTAAACACCTCATAGCCCATAGGTATGGTGCATACTTTTAGGGTGTGAAATTTTAAAGTCAGATGATGTCGGCATTATTTTGATATTTTTGCAAATGAAATAATGTAGGTATTGATATTTTTGCAAGTGGCTCTGTCCATAATTAATTAAATATTGTGCAAAAATGTTTTTTTAAAAAAAGTCCACTTGTTAACAAAATCTTTTGAAGAAATCTTGCCTCTGATATATAGCTCATATTTATACATATATAAATGTTTAAACCTTTCAGAGCTCGCATGTTCCTACATCTACGCTTATTTGAACTTTGAAAATAATATAAAAAATATATTTTTGAAAAATCTATGCTCCTTTTAACTTCAAAAAAAAATTTTTTTAAATCTACGCTCCTCTTAAACTTAAAAAAAATATATATAAAATCTACGCTCCTTTGAACTTCGATAAAAATGTTTTTAAAAAATCTCCTTTGTATTGAAATTATTGAATGTCCGCATTACGGACTTAAAAAACACAACATACATGCGTAAACTAATTGCGATGTGTTCGCCTAGTGTAACCTACACACCACCATGTAAATATTCTTTGTAGTAAGTTTTTTGTTGAGTGTGCAAGTTGTACATAATCACTCCCAATAAAGCCACCAGCCAGAGCGCAAGTGTCTTTCGTTTCATCCACTTTTATATTTTTAAAAAATCTACACTCTTTTGACCTCGGAGAAGATGTATTTCAAAAATCAAAGCTTCTTTGCACCTAGAAAAAATATTTAAAAAATTTTGCTTATTTGAACCTCAAAAAAATTTTATATATATATATATATTTAAATTCTACGCATCTCTAGTCATTGAAAATATATTTCTAAAACATCTACGCTCCACTAGTCATAGAGAAATTTTAAAAAAATCTAAGCTCCTCTAGTTACTTAATTTTTGTCATTGGAACAAAAATATTTTTAAAAAAATCTACGCTCCTCTAGTCATTTAAAAAATATTTTTGAATCTACACTCCTTTGAACATAAAAAAATTTTAAAATATATTTTTAAGAAAAAATATTTTTAAAAAATCTACCATCCCTCCAGCCATTGAAAAAAAATATTTTTAAAAAGTCTACGCTTCTTTAGCCATTGAAAAAAAATAGTTTAAAAAATCTATACTATTCTAGCCTGCTTGAAATGAATATTTTTAAAAAATTTAGCCTCCTCTAGCCATTAAAAAATATATATTTTTAAAAAATCTACGCTCCTCTAGTTATGAAAAAAAAATATATATATATATATAGATTTTTAAATTTTACGCTCTTCCAGTTATAAGAAAAAAATAATTTTTAAAAATCTACTCTCTTCTAGTCCTAAAAAATTAATGAAAATCTAGGGTCTTTATAAAATATTTTTAAAAAATCTATGCTATTCTGGTCTGAAAAAGTAGGGTACCATCCAACTGGTCCCACCCGACATTATTTTCGTATTATGTCTTATAATATCCCTGTGCGAAATGGTGTTGTAGTAACTACAGGAAAGGAAATAAAAAACACCGAACCACCAACCGACTATGTACACAAACTGGAGCAACAATTTGCAGTGAAGGGCGTAGAAAAAAATAACAAAACAAAAAATCGTTACCATTTACTACGGGGAGAGTAATCACTCCGATTTTGTGTAGCCTGTGTTATATAGAAAGGAAGCCTAGCTTCCAGCGTTAAAAAGGAAATAATGCCACAATTGGGGCGTTGTCTTGTTTGTGAGAGGAATCAACCAGCAAGTAGTAAATGCTGTTCGCCGATATACCGAAACTAAGTATGTTGGCTGATACTGTCACTAGCAAATGGCTGCGGATACTACAACCGCTGCTGCTGTCGTTGTCGCAGTCATCACTGTTGTAATATTAACACAAATATGTCGTTTAGTTTCCTTTACAATGTTTGTATTTTTTTTTTTCTTGACGTTTTCCCCATTTTTTGCATTACTTCCATTTTCCATGGTGCTGCTGGAGTAGTTAGTGTATATATGAAAAACGTTGTCATTTTTTTGCAGCAAAACATGAAATATATTTAATAACCACCATTTAATGGTGAGGGTGGTAATGTTTGCTTTGTAATAAAAGAAGAAAATTAAAAACATGCTCTACAAAAAAAATACAGGATGTCACCACAAAAAAACTAAGTAAATACCAGTAAGGAGTGGTATTCCTTTTTAGCAGTAGTGAGATTTTCCCAGGAGTTTCATTAAATTAAATTATGTGTATTTGTGGGTGTATTCCATGAAAATGTTGTTTGTCATTATTTTCGGTCACCGCACATACGCAATAATTATAAATCCCTAGGGGAAGGTCAAGTCCATTGTTGGAAAATTGTAATTAAATTTCAAATAAAAATGTCCATCCATCACCCACACAAAGGCATGACTTAAATAAAATTGCACATACATACATATTTTATTTGCCAATGCCCATTTCTCCTTTGAGGGGGGTTTTGTTCATCAATTTGTCAATTCGTCTTGGACATTTTGTAAAAGTACGTGTTTTGTTTTTACAATTTAAAAATTTTACTCATGTCTGAAGAATTTACAAATATTTATATTCATATAATACCTTTTTGTCGAATTGTAACCAGTAGTACATCTATAGAGACACTCGTTGAATGTACATATGTATATACTTGTAATGTAGATCTACTTGTATATTATACTGTGTCACATTATTTGATTGACGTCAATTAAGTAATCGGATCCAAAAAGATATGCACGTTCGTACGTATATGTACAAATGTATAAATATCGCAAAATCCTACAACAAACTCTTTATGTCATGAACGAGACAATTACAATGAATTGTTGGTCAAAACACAGAAAAATAGCATCAATGATGATTCACTTTTTTTTTAAATGAATATGAAATAATTTAGAGTTTAATTCGTTCGGACTGAATATTGTATACCCTCCACAAAATTTAGAAATTTCCTAAACTCTAAAAGGGGACTTATAGTACGTTTACATTTACCCGGATTTCGTTCGTATATATGTAAAATAAATCATCATTAAGTATGTTAATATACCGTTTTATATTGGCAATTTTGTCAAAAAGTTCTTGGGGCCAAAATATTTGTATAAAATCTTCACTTAGCTGGTTCTTGATAAGAATATTTTTATAAAATCTACGCTTATCTGGTTCTTGTAAAAATTTTTTTTATAAAATATATGCTTAGTTGGGTCTTTTTATATAAAATATACGCTTAGTTATACGCTTGAAAAATTTATTTATTATCCACGCCTAGCTGGTACTTGAAAATAATATTTGGAACGTTCCGATGGTGCTTAAAATATATTTATAATAAATCTAAACTATGCTAAACCCTAAAATGTTTATAAATAAGACCTAGGCTCTTCTGGGCTTTGAAAAAATATACATATCAGGGCTCTGGATCTTCAATATTAAAAAACTACGATCTGTTGATCCTTAAAATATTTTTAGAAACTATATTCTTTACTGGTCCTTGAAATAATACATTTATTAAAAATGCATCCTGCTGGACTATGAAAAAAATATAAAAGCTCTCTTTAAAAAAAAAAAAAAACATTTGTATAAAATCTACGCTTTCCTAATTCTTGAAATAAAATATAAAATCCACACTTAGCTGATTCTTAAAAAAATATATTTTTATAAAATTTACTCTTAGCTGGTTCTTGAAAAAAATATTTTTATAAAAACTACGTCCGGGTCTTATAAATAAGAAGGTTAGACTAAAATAAACATAACAATTGTTTTTAAAAGACCTACGGACTCAGCTGTAATAAATAAAAAGGTCGCTAAATTTCTTTTAAACTTTGCCTTTTACTGGTACTTGAAACAAAATGTTTATGAAAAATACGTTCTGCTGGTCTATGAAAAAAATATGAATCTATGCCCTGTTGGTTCTTCAATCTTGAAAAAATATTCTTTGAAAAACCATGCCTCTATTGGTACTTGAAAGAATATTAAAAAAACATGCCTTTGTTGATCCTTGAAAAAACATTCTTTAGAAAAATCTATGGCAATGTTGGTCCTTGAAAAAGTATTCTCTAAAAAAATCCAAGCCTTCTTTACACCTTAAAAAAAAATATTCTTTAAAAAACCATGCCTCTGTTGATCCTTGAAAAAATATTCTTTAGAAAAATCTATGCCACTGTTGGTCCTTGAAAAAGTATTCTAAAAAAATCCACGCCTCTGTAGGTCCCTGAAAAAAAATATTCTTTAAAAAATCCAGTCCTTATATGGTCCCCAAAAATATACTTAATTAATCAACACCACTTGAGGTAGGGAGATTTTCTATCCAATCCAAATATATACTAAATTGATACTCAAAATAATAAATTAAAGCTGCTTTTGTTGAAAAACGTCCCAAAATATCGGCATTTTAGTGGGGGCTACACTAAAATGTTGACCAATGTTAAAAAATTTGTGCTAATTACAGTCAATGTTACCAAATTACCGACTGTTGGATCCTGGACCGAACCCCGTGACCTGTTATAAAGGTTATATATCTTGTTAATAATTTTCAATTATTATTATTATTATTTTTTATACCAAATATTTTATTTTTATTTCAATTTGCTAACCTTTTATTTTCCATTTTTATTTTCAGAAAACCTGTCGCTTTCCCAAACTCGAAGATTGTGCACATTTCCACTATGAACGTGTACAACTGGGTCCTCTCTCAGTACGTTTGGTCGATGATAAATCCGAATTGTTGAACAGCAGCATAGCATCCCAATCGATAGGTGGTGATATTGCTGGCAGTACATGTTCCACGTCGCAGGGACCCTCATCATTGCGTACCTTCTCCCCCTCATCCTGCTGGTTTATTATCAAAGTATTTCCACATCGATCAGATCCATTTTTGGTTAAGCGGTCCTTTGATAATATGCAAATGTTGGATGAAATGTTGCATCGCTGTGTGTATGATCGTAAAATAAGTGGTCTCAAACATCTCTCCGAAGTGGAATTTAAAAATGAAGAAGAAGTTGAATATGCAGTGGCCAAATATTTGGAACGTTTCTCAAAAATCGCCTCAGATTCATTGACCTGTGGTACGATATTGACATGGTTGCAGTTGGACAATAAGGGTAGAAGGTTGCCACTGGCCGATGATGATACCATGAGAACCATCAATACCCCTGCTGTGGGAGCGGCGTATGGTGTAAGACGTTATCAGGCACAGGCTTCAGATGAAATTTCCATAGAAGTTGGAGATATGATATCGGTGATCGATATGCCCTCACCAGCTGAATCGATTTGGTGGAGAGGTAAAAAATCGCATTTACAAAAATCCCATTATGAGGTTGGATTCTTTCCACAATCGTGTGTGGCCACAATTGGTGATAAGATACCACGGCATTTTCCAATGCCAGCTCCATTGGTGGGTCAGGTGGAAGTGTCACCAACCAAGCCGGTTTTACGCAAACATGGTAAATTGATTGCCTTCTTTCGTTCATTTATCCTGTCGCGACCCTCACGACGTCGCCTTAAACAAAGTGGTATTTATCGGGAGCGTGTCTTCTCTTGTGATCTCTCGGAACATTTACTCAATAGTGGCCAAGAGATACCAATGGTCTTAAAATGTTGTGCCGAATTCATTGAGGAACATGGTATTGTTGATGGTATTTATCGTTTATCTGGTATTACATCGAATATACAAAAGTTGAGAAGGGCATTCGATGAGGAACGGGTACCAGATTTGGGTAATCCTGAAATGAAACAGGATATCCACGCAGTTAGTTCACTGCTAAAAATGTATTTCCGTGAATTGCCGAATCCTCTGTGCACCTACCAGCTATACGACAACTTTGTTGAGGCCATACAAGCGAAAAGTGAAAGCAACGAAAGGCTAAGACTGATGAAGGAGACCGTGTTGAAATTACCACCACCACATTATAGGTATGTTTTGACAAAATAATTTATTTTATAGATTACAATAACAAATTTCACATTCTCTCTTCTAGGACCCTCAAATATCTCTCAGAACATTTAAATAAAATCTCCCAATATGCTGAACGCACCGGCATGACAGATAAAAATTTGGCCATTGTTTGGGCACCAAATCTGTTACGTTCCCCGGCATTGGAATCTGGTGGTGTGGCCGCTCTACGAGGTGTCGGAGTCCAAGCGGTGGTCACTGAATATTTAATACGTAATTGTCATTTAATATTTGATGCCCTGGAAGAGGCCGTAGTACGTCTCAGCTATATTGCCACCCAAGGCGCCGTTGTCTCCTCCACCTCCTCGTCGGCAAATCCAACAGCTGCCGAAAATCGCATGGATTCTCTAACCGATTGTGAAAGTTTATTGGTCGAACAGCGAGAACATGATCAAAGCACTGCCTTTGTGGAACGACCTAAGAGTCTAAGTGCCGGTGGTCCCAAACTGATTAGTTTAGAAGAGGCTCAAGAACGTCATATGAAATATGATGGTTTCGATATGAAGCAGTCGATGCCCATAAATATGATATCTAGTGTAAATTCGGGGCAAAACATTGGCTCCTACATCGAGGTGGGTGGTGGGCCCTCAAGTTTACCCGATAAATATCACACGGTGTTGTCGGTGCCACGCAGTTGGCAAAAACGTAAGACCCACAGTTGGAAATCGTTGTTTTCACGCAATCAACGGCCGGTTAGTAATGGCGCAGCCCATGAGCTGAAATCTTCCATTGTTGTAACGGCACGCATTGATGATGACGATGATTCACATTCGCCGCCACCACGACACAAAGAAACACCGCAAGTAACCTTTGCCGATGCCGACTGCATAATTGGTGTCAATGGTAAGCCCTCGAAGAGTGCCCTAATGAAACGTGAAGAGAAACACAAATCAATTGAACTCTTTGAAACATCACGCTCCTATTGTGGCGAGCCAAGCAAACCGATTGAGGTGTGTGTGCGCTCCAATTCCATTGATAGTTTGCGTACGGCGGGCCACTCACGTTCCGTGTCGCATGATTCATACTTTGATTTGCTGCAATCGCCGCAAAGGGGCAATGTGACAACATGTCCTTCAAGGTAATAGGGAAACAACAATTTTCAACAAATTCAAATAAATCTTAAATTTTAATTTCTTTTTCAGAGAACTCTCCGAACTGGGTTTGAACTTTGATCGTGAAGAACCTGAAATGCGTATATTTTCGGAAAGTGAGTCATTGGTTAGTTCGCCCAGGGTAGGCAAAGAAAATATACCACCTTCATCGGGCTCTACATCGCGACGCATAATGCGAGCCCGGCCAGAAGAATTTTCCAGTCAAACGAATAGTGTTAATCCCAGTCCTAAGAAACAACCACGTCTTAATCTACTACTATCACCAAGTTCAGCGGCTGCAGCGGCAGGTGCCTCATCGACAACAGCCAGCACAGCTAGTCCTTCAAATACAACCACCACATGGTCTCAACCCAGCGAATGTCATGGTGAAACCCCCACCACCTGTCATGAACACAATAGCGATGAGAGTTGTTGTAAACGTTATAAATTAGAAGATCAATTATCCGATATACAATACATCGATTGTGGTACACCCGAACATACCGTGGCCAATCCTCATACACTTTATGCCAGTGTTCAGGTACATGCACCACCTGCGCCAACCAGTCAAGCTTCATCATCTACCCTTTATGGTGGCAATTCCTCGACGGAAATTACCACCCCCACCAAACAAAGGCAACAAGTGCCAATGGATGGTCAAAAGAATGCGAACGGCAATTCAAATACCCGTTATAGTTATCCGTCGGTACAATTGGGATCGAAACGTAAGGATCAGGATAATAATAAGTCTTCGGTGGCCAATTCGAAAGAACGTTTTAGTTATCCCGGAACGGGTGTAAGCAATGAACGTCGTCTATCCAGCAAAGAGACATTTGCCAAAATGTTAATCGAAGAAGTAGAGGCAGCTGCCGCTGCATCGGCAGCACAGAAAAAAGATGAGGAGTCTCCACAAATGAAAACAAGGTGGGTGTAAAGGGAGAAAAGTGTGGGACACATGGATCAATTAAAATAGAATATGGTTGGATATTGTTGAAAAGACGATAATCCAAAGACATTTCCACGAATATTCCGGCAATGCTTCAAAGATCATTAACATATGTATTTTAATCTGCAAATATCATTTTTAAATATCTAATCAAAATTCATTAAATATAACCTCAATTTTTGGAATTTTGAAACATTTTCCAACCGACTGGATTCAAATTAGGCTTTAGAAGTTCGTAGAGAATCGGAAATGTCTTCACAAAAATTATCTCTATTGTCAAGTTTAAAGTATAGACCCCAATACCGGTACCTTTCAATGTTCGATATGTTTATGATCTTTTACACACTTTTATATTTATTTGAGATATTTTCAATTTAATTTGGCTTTATATTTAGCCTTAGATGTTTGAAAAGATTCGAAAATGTATTCACAAAAATAGTCTCTATTGGTCAAGTTTAAGTATAGACCCAATATATATATATATGTTGATTATTTTTCTCATATTTTCTAACCGAAGTTAGTTATAAACTTTGGGTTCATGTCTTGCTGCCCAAATCATTTTTATCTTCTCCCATTATTAATCGTCTCTATTATTTCTTTCTTTTCAGAACTGTTTCCTTTAGTGCCAATCAATCGACAAATTCCAATAGCTCTTCGCCGAAACCACACACCAACACCACGACCACAACCGGTAGTGGCCATCATCAACATCTAACAGCCAGACCTCAATCCTATGATCTGCTTAAAGTTAAAAATCGTAATAGTTATTGTGTAACGAATGATGTTTTGCAACAACAACAACAACTGCTGCGCAGTTATTCTGGCGATATAACCAAAGATTCTACGCGTGATACGCACAATCAAAAATTGTCACAACAAAGTCATCATCACTCAAATGAAATGGAACAATCGAAGTTGTCTGTGACACCTTCATCACCCATACAGAGTCCTCGTTATTCCCTGTTGGTGGGTGATACAAGTTCCGAAAATAGTTCAGCTGTAAATACACCACAACATGATTTGGATCCATTGATGGTGTCCTCGGCCATGTCTGGTATATCGGGCATTTCGGCTGGGTCATCCAATCAAATGCAACAAATGTTATTGGGTGTGGATGCGAGCAGTTATTTAGGCACCTCAGCAGAGAGCATAGGATCAAATGTGAGTATTCTCATTCCCTATACCTCTTCAGGACCCCATAAATATTTTCCAAATTCTCCTTGTTTTTTTTTAGATAATTGAAAAACGTGATATGCAAGCCTTGAAACGTGAACTATCGCTGGACTTAAATCCCGTTGGAGGTTCCAAACTCTCAGCTGAATCTTCAGCACAACGCAATCAGCACAACTTAATTTCACCCAATTCCAATTTTACCGATAACACCAGCCAATCGGTAACGCCCAGTGAATATGGCTATCAAAATTTACAAAGACAATTGAGCATGCACTCGCTCATTGAGACCGATGAAAATTCCCCAGCCTATGAGGAATATGAAAATACACCCAGTAATCTTAATTCACCCCTTAAAACCGTAGCTAGTCCAATTAAATCCACCATTAGCATTACATATAATCTAAAGAGTCCCACTAAGGATAGGTCCAAACAATCACATTCCATCACCCAGCCACTGTTGGAAACTTCTTTCGATGAGAACACGGTCTATGAACAGGTGAAATTCTTTAGAAATTCTGTTACCGAAGTTAATCAGCTGTTGAACGAAGAACGTAAATATCCCCAAAAGGAATTGGAAAATTTGGCTGAGGTGGAGGAATTAAGTGAAAGTGAAAAGGATTCGGATAAGGATACACCCATCGATCCCCACGGAGGGGATGACATACAAATGTCCGATGAAGAAAAATTGCTATATGAAAATGTGGAGTTGAGGAAACCCAACAGCGTTTATCAAAACTTAATGGGTGAGGAAATGAAGGCGTTGCTCAAAGAGGAATCTAGCAATCCTGATAGCTATGAAGATCCTGAAGTGGAATTGGATAGCTTAGATAGCATTAAAGATCACGAATCCGAAACTATTGAAGTGGCAGCCAATACCGCCAGAAGATCACCTTCCAATTTTAGTGTCAAAGAATTGGCCACCAAATTTGAAGTTTCTCCCGTTGAACAAATGCCAGCTTTTGATTTTTCTGGCAGCAGAAGTTCCATCAGAAAACCAAATACATTGAATACCGCCACACATCCTGAAAGATCTTCAAAGAATCATCAGCAACAACAACAAACGGCTAGTCTTAAGCAAAAATTGAATAAAACTCAACAAATCACCAGATCTCTGGACGAGAATGCTTTCATACGGGAATTTGGTAATAAAAATCTACAAGAATTGAAATCGTCTCAGCAACTCAATCAACAATCCGGCAATGAGGCGGGAAATCGAAGAAAAAGTTTTGATTTCACACGGCCCAAAACTTTAAATCCACCCAAAAGACTGCCTGGCATGCCCATAACTGAAGAATATTGTGCTTCCAAGGCCAACAACGACAAAACAACGCTAAAGATTGATTTACCCAAAGAAAAGAACTTCAACAACTCGCTGGAACATGACTATGACAATGCTGATTTGAAAATCACACCCACAACCGAAAATCGCATTTCTCTAATACAAAATAATGTACATCCCGAAAATACTGCCGATCTTAATAATTCCAATATTTCCACATCACCAACACACTCCACTGGTGGTGGTGGTGGAGCTGGAGGAGCCACAACGCCCTCAACTAATCTCAAAGTATTATCCGGTGTCAAATTGGACAGAGAACGCATTGATCGCATTAAAGAGGAACGACGTCAACAGCTGACACAAAAATATCATGCTGACTCGTTTAAATCGAAATCCAAAACCGATTTAAATCTAACCAAAAACGAAGATGATAAATTCTCCACAGACAATACATCGCTGAGGGTTAAATCAAAATCCCGTGCCGATATGCGTACTCTACAAAAAGACATGGATAATCTAAAGGAATTTGGTCGTAATCCTCCGTCGTCAGCCGTGTCGGAAACAACACTAAATACACAACATCGTGTACGTAGTATATCCGATGAAAAGAATCAAAATAGTTATGATCAAACGAATGCAAATAACACGGCTGCGGCTGGAGCTGGTGGTGATTCATTTTTGAAACGATCACAACATTCTCTAAATAAAGTCAATACAACGAAACCACCCTCAACATCGTCAACCGTGTCTAGTACAGCCACATCTGATCAGGAAGAATTTTCCGCTAGAGCCACAGTACAAAAATTTGAACGTAAAAGTATGGACTTTGCCAATGGTGTGAATACCACCATCGCACCATCATCAAGGGAACGTTCTTCGGTGAAATCATCACATGAACTGGGCTGCTCATCCGGATTATCACCAGCAACGCGAAATAGTATATCATCAAAGTGAGTTTTCAAGTAGTACCATATGCATCTATATTTAACTGGAGAGTAAATTTAATTGACTGATACATAAAGTTGAAATAATAACCTTCAACCAAAAACAGAAACAATTGGATCGGGAAAAAGAGCACAGAAAAAATGACATAAAAAGGACACAACATTTTTATCATTTGCAAGATTTTCTCTAAACATTAAGACTTATTATAATACTTAAACATAAGGCATACGCGTAATCTTTCCTACTTTATATTACTAGTAAGACATGGAAAAAATGTAGTATTATGGGCTGATTCAGAGGGTCTAGTTCTGATTTTGGCTTGTTCTTTTAACATGGAATAGTGTAGTTCCTGTCAAAAGGAGATTTTGTAAAATTAATAAAGATGACTGGTTTAAGTCTGCTGAAATTCGGTATCACTTGTCTCTTCGTGACATTTCTTATAGGTCCTATCTTCGGGACAAAAGTGTTGAAAATTGGAAATTGTTTTGTCGCTGTCGTAACCGAGCCAAAAAAACTATAAGAAAACTAAAATTTATTGCTCATAGGGATATGTTTGCTAATAAATCCACAAAGAAAGTGTGGTCAATTTTAAATAAAAACGGTTTGTGTACTGATGACAGAGAAGTCGGGAATGTTGATGTTGAGGCTCTGAATTCAGATTTTGTTTCGAATCAATCCGTAGATGTTTTTGATGTTTCTTGTATTCCTGTTGATGCTTTTGATGGGTTTTCCTTTCGTGCAATTGATTATGCTGAGATTGTTGATGCTTTCAATAAAATCAAGTCCACGGAGTTGGTTATGATGGATTTCAGCTAAAATTTCTAAAACTTGTTTTCCCCCTTGTTGGTCAATTTTTGTTGCACGTTGTCAATTCTATGTTAACAATGTCTGTGTTTCCAGAGATGTGGAAAATTGCAAAAATAGTGCCAATTCAAAAAAAGAATGGTGATTCTAGTGAATATAGGCCTATATCTATAATGCCGATTCTTTCTAAAATGGTTGAGTATGTCATGAAAGATCAAATGCTAGTTTATATTGGTGAAAATTCTCTATTACATGAGAGCCAGTATGGGTTTAGGAGTAATCGCGGCACTGCATCTCTTCTCGTTGGATTGACTGACAATATAAGGAAGACTGTTGGTACGGGAGGTTGTTGTGTGTTGTTGTCAGTAGACTTAGAGAAAGCCTTTGACAAAATTAATCACGCTAATTTAATAAGAAAATTGCATCGTTTGTTCAATTTTTCGTCCTCAGCTTGTAAGCTTATTTCGTCGTATTTGTTTGGAAGGAAGCAATATGTTTGTTGTAGGAATGTTGTTTCTGGAATGCTCCCTGTGAGTAGTGGTGTACCCCAGGGGTCTGTACTTGGGCCTCTATTGTTTGTTATGTATGTTAATGATTTGCTAAGTTGAGTAGGAGCTGCATGTCATTTGCATTTGCTGATGACTTGCAGATTTTGTTTAAAGGAGAATATGTGTTTTTAGATGTTTTGCAGTCCTCTATACATTTTAATATCAATGTGTTAGTAACGTGGTTATCTGCAAACGGACTCTCAATTAATACACGTAAGAGTAAAGTTATGTTTTTTGGGAACTTGCAAGAGAATTCAGTAAATGTTTCCATTTATAATAATTCTATAAATGTTGTAAGCTCTATGAAATGTCTTGGTTTGTTTCTTGATAGTAGTTTGGTGTTTGATGTGCATGTTAATTCTTTGGTGTCCAAGGTAAACTTTATTTTAAGAAAGTTGTACTCTTTGGATATGGCTCCGCCTAAGAGCATTAGAATTCAATTGGCCCATGCATTGATTATGCCAAATTTTTTGTATTGTATTGAGATTTTTGTGGATATGTTTTACGTAAAATTAAACTATTGTTCCATAGGGTTATGCGATATGTATATTGTGTTAAACGTCGTGATCACATTTCTCCTTACGTTAAAGAGTTCCTCGGTTGTACCTTTGAAAGTTTTGTGAGTTTAAGGTCAATGTTGTTGTTCTATAAGGTATTTAAGTTGCAGACTCCTTCCTCTGTAGTTGATTTGTTTATGTTTTCTAGATCTGTTAGAAACATACAAATACTTGTTCCGCGTTTGTGTCCTTTATTGGAAAAAGCCTTTTTTGTACGAATTTCTAGAATTTTTAACACCTTACCGCCTTCTCTTAAAACATTTAACTCTTCCTTAAAATGTTATCGAACTCATTTATACGATTACTTCAACCTCAATTCATCTTAAATTCATAGGTTTTGCTTATTTGTTTGTGTTTTTATTGCATAACTGATTTCAACATTTAAATAAATTTAACTATAATATATTATATTTTTTTTAATTGATAATTGTGATATAATAATAAGATATTTGAACCTGTAAATTGAATTTAGTGGTTGAGAGTAGATATAATATTGAAGTCCTTTGCCCTATGTGATAGGTCGCTGCATCAAATAAAGGAATAATAATAATAAAAATGTTTTTGAAGTACAATGGTTCTGAACCCCTCCAACTGAATAGTCGTTAAGATAACATTAAGCTAATACACTGTTAGTTTTAAGCTTTTGGAGTAGTTTATATATGAAATAAATTGAAATTGGAATGTTAAAACAAAAGTCTAGGTAGTAAAATCTATACATTTAGGGTTCAAAGGTCGGATTTTTGGTATATTATGAAGAAGCATTTATTGTAGCCAAATTGGTTTCAATGTAGAAGTCATCGTATTAGGGAATCGACTATCAGAACCAATACGAGCTAAACCCTACATTAGCTAAAATTAAAAAAATATATTTTAACACACATTGGTGAGGAATTTCCAACCTCTTCAAAGAGTTTGTATATCTTTGAAACAATTGACGATTTCTTATGTTAACGTGACAAGTCATGATAAGTTATGGCAAGTAGTCTACTCATTGTTAATTATTCAGAAGGATAATGGAGATTGATATTATACATATATCCCAGCTGAAAACTGCCCTTAAAATTTTAAAGACATTTTGAATACCAAGAACATTGCCAATTTGATCGGATGTGAAATTTCTCTACCAAAAGAATCTGACAAGAAACATTGCATTCTTCTTTAAAATCCCTCCTCCCATGTCACCAAGCAATTTGTTGTTATCCACATCGAAAGATCTTTTTGAAAAATAAATAATGGGATGAGAAAGCTTTAAGAATATTTAACGGTTTCTCAGACGGTTATATTCACACTTAATATGTGTGACCGTGGAACAAAAACAAATACTAAGTATTAAGTATTATTATACTTATGCGGTTAAGAGGGGTTAGATGATATTCTTACAAAAAGCGGAGCAGTATAATCGGACGGGGTCGCCATATTATATCCTACACAACTTCCACTGAGCTTTAAGATCCTGCGGATCTATATTCCGAGCCTGGGTAATATTACGCGATATTAGAACTCTATTGGTCGATTAGAGGTCAGCAGCTCCTGCGGAATCTTTTCCGAATAATGGTTTCCGGATTAAAAATTTACACCATACGACTCTATTTTTTTTTATTTTACACAAACAAGTTTTGTAAGAGCTATGATTATTCCTTGGCCAGATCTCATCTTCCGTATAAATTTGGTGATGTTCGGGTAATAATCTTAACGGATCATTACCAAAAACAATAGGGGTCTTCTTTGGCCAGAACCGGTTCTTCATGAATAATTTCCTTTCGATTGGTCCATAACTGTGCCTGTATCGTGTTTTAAAATTATGGACAGACAGACGGACGGACACATGTCTAGTTCGATTCAGCTTGTCGGAATATGACGATCGTGATACCTAAAGGTGGGTCTAGGACCAATATTACCCGTCTATCTGTTGAAATCACTATATAGACCTTAGAAATTTGGTTATTCTACTTGGGATGATTCGCATTGAGAATGGGGTATATATGTCCACGATTTGGTATAGTCCGCATGTAACGGTACCCCCAAATATTCGGTATTCTAGGGATGTTTGACAGGGGTTTCAACTGAATTGGCTGTAATTTTCTATTTTGGGTATATATTGCATAGCACATCTCCATACTAAAAATTATTGATATAGACCTAAGTTCGGTATTATGAGGATTTTTGACAGTAATTTATAAATATTGGATGACTATTTAGGGAATACCCCATATAACGCTACATCCCAAACCAAATTAGTCGTAATTTTATATTTTGGGTTCTCGTTGAGTAGAAAATCCCTCTACCATAGGTCCATATAAGGGTATAAGGGTTATTTTGAATGTTTTTGATTGATTACCTGAAATTTGTGCGGAAAATTGTCTATGTAGGTCCAAGTTTTGATATAATCCTCACATTACAATTTCCGCCACTTTTTCGGTATTCGGTACTACAACGTAACTTAAGAACATAGTCCCCATAAAAATATCCCGATAGACTTAAAATATTTTGAATGCACAACACGTGGTGAAGGGTTATATGTTGGCCCGCCCGAACTCAACGTCATTTTTAGTTGTTTTTTTTTTATTTATTACCCACATTTTCTCAGAAAGAAAAAATAGTTTATAAATAACTTTTTATTAACATATTTTCCTATTTTTTTTACAGCCGTGAAAAAATCTCACCACAATTTTCCATACGTGATGTAACCGCCATGTTTGAATCTCGTTCACAAAATCAGCAATAATTGAATGGTAACATATTTATTTTTTAAAATAATCTAAATCTCTTAGATGCTAGTTTTAATAAAAAACCACAAACCCCAAAAACGATGGGGTAAAAAAGAAACAAGAAATCTCATCTCAACCTTGGACGTCACACAATAATACTAATAAACAAAAAAATAAATAAAAAAATATTTATATATATTAAAACAATTTAAACTTATTATAAACAATTTTTTGTGAAATATAAAAAATATGTTTTATATAAGATGGATAAAATTATTAATTTAAACAATAGTATTAAATAACAAAATAAAACATCACTCTTAACTACAAGGAAAAAATCACACATTAACGACAGAAAATGATATTAATAAAAATCTATATATTTATATTTCTACTGAATCTAAACAAAAAAACTATTTAAAAAAATAATATAATATGAGGATTATAAAAAAAATTTACTTAAAAAAGAACAAGAAATATCACAATCCAAAGATGTATAACAAAAAATTTATGAAAAGCATTTTTCTTTCTATGTTTTTGTTGGTATTTTAAACAAAAGAATAATAATCAATTTAAATTAAATATTAAAACATATGGGTTGAATTGAGTCCGGGGTTCTGAAAATTATATCCCATTAAGAGCAATATTGTCATTCCAACTCGAATAATTCTATGCATTTCTTCAGTTTTTTTAGTAATGGAATCTAAATTTTAATGCATTTTTACTAAATATCTGTTTTTAATATTTCCTGTAAGGGAAAAATTATTTTCTCCAACAAACCCATAAGGGATTTTTTTGAATTTTCAATATTTTTCCTATTACTGGACTACACGTCTATGTTCTGTTCTGATTCAGCATAGCTGGCAATGCCATGCTTGAAACCAGAATTAAATATTGTTATTGCTTCTTTTTTTATGGATAAAAACCCCACGACAATTCTGTACGTTTACAACCCATGTGTTATATATTTCAATTAGCAAACTGCGTCTTCTTTATATTACTACTACTTCTGTATAAACCATTTTGTTTATGACTAAAAATATAAATTGAAAAAAAAACATGGAACATTGTTTCAGTTAAAACAAAAAAATCTCTAACCTTTTTTAATAAAAAAAATATAAATGCAATATTCTTTCTTATTCTGTTAAGATTTTGTTATAAGATTCACACATTTCTAAGCGTTTATTTTTTATTTTTTGATGATGACTTGTTTTTTTAAAAAATATATATTTTTAATTTTATGATTTATCTTTATTATTAAATAATTATTAAACTGTTAAATTTTAGTTGTTTTTTAGTGTATAGTTAAATTTAATTTATTTTTGTTATAATCTAAGCTAGCTTCTTGAGCATTTAAGTATCATGGTTTTTTTTTCTAAGTTGTTTTGAAGACAATCGACATTTTTGAGAATGAAGAAAAAACTTTATTTTTTCTCTGAAAAATAAAAGAAATATAATTTTACGTTTATTAATCTTAAATATTATTTAATAATTGTAAATTTAAAATTTATACATTATTATTACTATGATTTTTTATGTACATGACAATTGCAACAATAATATTAAAAACAGAAAAAAAAACTGAAATAAAATTTTAATTTTTATGCAAACATTATGACAAAAAAATTATTTTGTAAATTTGTTTTTTATTTTTCATATTTATGTGGATTGATTTATTACTATATAGCCCCCTTTAATGCTGGTGTATAAGCAGAATCCTGTAGCTTCTCTCCTTTCTTTTTTCGATTTATTTGTCGGGCATTGTGGACTTAGTGGATATTTTGGGATATGTAGACCTAGTGGGATATTTTACGGGTCAATCGAAATTATCCACCATTTTAGGTATTTTGTAATAATCTAAATATAATTTTAGGTTGGGTTGCGTGATGGGATCCATCGTGATCGTTTAAAAATACATTGTAAAAAAGGGAAATGTAGAAAAGAAAATTATGTAATGTAAGATGTAAAGGTTAGGTTGCTGACCAGACCATGACAAATTTTTTGGGAAAGCTGTACATGATTTTGGGGTCCATCACGGAGAAAAAGTTTGGAGTGTCTATTTCATATATATACCAAACCTTTGATGCCATCTGTTTCAAAGCAGAAGGCATCGACTGAATATAAGTACTAGCACTGCCGTCTTCTCTTCCGTCATCCTCGCAGCATTATTCTACTTGATTAATTTTCCATTTTGAAAAGAGGGACCTGATCCTGTAATGACCTATGTATTAGATACACGCTTGAAGATTTCCGCCCAAATAGAATTTGTGGTTCTACATGCAGGAGGTTTGGCAGTGACATCAATTGTTATATTGATTGACTGCAATCCACAATTGAGCAAACTTATCAGGTACTTCAGTTCCCTTTAAGTGGCTATGACCTGGAACCCAACAAAGCAAAGCTGAACAGTTTTACAGTTTGAAGTGCATAACTTGTTTGACTATCTATATGTCGATAGTCACCAGCCCTGAGTCACTAATACATACCCTCCTGACTAGCTCTGCATCTTTCATAACTGCTAAAATCTTTTATTAAATACCCTAAAATTTTCTTTTGATAAAATTGCTAAAATCTTAGCTTGAAATCACTACAATTTGCCTTATTGGATATGGCGGCCAACGTGGGGACAGGAATACAATTTTTGGCCAGAACATAAATTCTAAACATTTCCATTTATTGTTCGAATTTTTAATTAAGAATTCGTTGTAAACAATGTTCCTGCCAAAAATGTCCTACATTGGGCGCTATATAAAAAATTGTAAAAAAACATTTATTGATCAAAATTTCCTATCATTTCCATACATGTTCATATGATGCACCTTAAAATATTTAGAAATGATAATTGGCGCCCAACGTAGCAAATGACCCTTTGGCGACTATGACATTTAAAAACGTTATAAAATTTTGTTTTTGCTAAATAGTCAGGCTGAATCCCAGTTTGTTGTTATTATAAAAAACAACTATTTATTAGTGGGGAATGCATGGCATTGTTTGCCGAGGGGTAAGGCAGGGAAGACTGATCCTCATCAGTTCCCTTAGTTTTTTGTTGGGATATTCTCCCCAGAAGCTATTGCTTCTATACAAAAAACCTTTCATACCCAAATGTCTCTTGTAACAAAGCGAAGTACTTAGCTGACCAACGACATAAACTGCATGAGAATTTCGCTGGAGCCTCACTTCGAGGTTAACAAGGCATTTACAAACAATACCAAACCTTTCCTACTGTTGTGTGTTGTCACATCGCGACAAATGCACACAACGACTTTGTTGGTGTTGTTAGTATACAGCAACAAACCAAACAGTTCAACCGTGCCTGCGTCTACAACTTCAGTAGTGTTCGCTTTGTTACAAGAGACATTTGGGTATGAAAGGTTTTTTGTATAGAAACAATAGCTTCTGGGGAGAATATCCCAACAAAAAACTAAGGGAACTGATGAGGATCAGTGGCGTGATCCGAAACTATAGTCTTCCCTGCCTTACCCCTCGGCAAACAATGCCATACATTCCCCACTAATAAATAGTTGTTTTTTTATAAAAACAACAAACTGGGATTCAGCCTGACTATTTTGCAAAAACAAAATACAAATGGTATCCCAAATAAACCGGCAAAACGACTGAACGTTATAAAATTCAAAACTCTGTCATATTAATTAAGAAAGTAACATTTCCAAGCTATATTGTGAGAATTCGTAATATTTATTATATGGCGCCCAACGTGTGAGCAGGAATAAAATGTTGGTATTTGAATTTGTTTTACAATGGCAATATTTATTGATATGAAACACGTTAGAATTTATTTTGTAACTTTTACAAATGATAATTATCGCCCAACGAGGCAAGTCGCCCTTTTGCAGCTATTTTTAAAGAAATGCACATTTCCAAGCTAGAATGTAAGAATTTTTAAAATTTTCTATATGGCGCCCAAAATAACGACAGGAATAAAATATTGGCAAGACTATTCAAATATGTTCAACAATACAATCCAAAATAACTATTGTTGATAATATGTTGATGTTATTTCAAATTTCATAACTTCTTTATACGAATTAGCGGATTTTTTTCATGGCGCCCAATGTGAGACTCTTCTATACATATTGTAGATTTTGTGTTAAATTCAATCAAAATTAAGCATTTTTTATTATGAAAATATAACATCACATTTCATAACATTTATTTGTGAATTTTTGGAAAATTTTGTGTGAATTTGGGAAAATGTAATCATTTCCGGTTGAGTTTATGACAGTTATCGCAAACAATTTTAATTTTATTATTTTCCAGAACTCGCTTTGTCCTTATTTACACAATTTTTAACAACATTTAAATTTAATATCCCCAAATATTATTTTGAATATTTTTCAGTTAATGAAAAAAGAAAAGAACATAATATACTAAATAATATAGGTATACTTAACGAGTGCTTAGAGTTGTGCTAAAGTTTCATTTACATTTAGAAAAAATAAAATAATTGAATAATTATATAAATTAAAAATTAATATTGTTATTATATAAATAAAAGAAGATATAATTTAGGAGAAAAGAAAAAAGAAAATTAATTTCTGGAAAAAAATTTAAAAAAAATGCAGTAATACTAATGATAATTTTGGTATGATAGAATTTACTATAACTTCTAATATCAAAATATTTATTATTATTTTTAAAATAAACCAAAAAAAAAATACTCTAAAAACAAATTACAAAACTTCAAATATTTCTTCTTTTTTACTACATATACTATGGGAACCAATCGAACATAACCAAAAGCTTATAACAGTGTGAGTGAACATCCTTTTTCCAAAATAAAAACTTTTAACATTTAAAATAGAATACAATAACTTTGAAATATATATAAAGCTCTTTATATATAAGTTAATATTTTTTTTATTTTTTTAATAGATAAACAATATATACATACTTTCTACTACCATATATACTTCAAATATAAACGAAATGAATACAAGAACATTTAAAAAAGAGAAATAAAATACAAACAGGACTGCAGGATGTTGCCAAATTTTTGTTTAGAAAAAAATG